GAACGTATTATGTTTACAAACTTCCGGGGCATTACTTGGTGGGCAAGCGTCTCAAGAAGAACAGACCGATCAACCGAGTCGAATGCGCCTCGGAAATCCAGGAATACTAGAATCGTGGGTCGCTTATACGTATGGCGTTGTTCTAGTACCTGAAGCCCTTCTACAGCAGCCTAAGAGCTCAGATATCGTTGTGGTTGCTGGTGATATGAACGTTCAGGTAGGTAGATTAAGCGCTGCTGAGGCCCGATTGGGCCGTCGTCTTGGTTTGGACACGAGACGCACGGACAGCGGAGACCGCTCACTTCAGATGCGTGTCGGTGACAGACTGTTCCTTTGCAGTATAAATTTCCTGAACAGCGGAAATCGCTTGATAACGTGGTGCCCACCAACAAACTAGCGCCGAATCCAAATAGACCACATCGTTGTCAGTTATCGGTGGCGAGGGTCGATCACCGCCTGCCGCTCCTTCTGAAATGCCAGCGTGGATTGCAACCATGCACTTGCGCGCTGCTGCTTTTCAATGCGCTTTCCAGGTGTACGCAAAACGCACACACCTCGCTTAGCCATTGAGAAGCTAGCGGGCCCAGAAGCCAAACAAAATAATCAGAACTAGCCCCTCGAATGCCTGCCGGACGGCACGGTGTTGGATATACACGGCCACTGGGGAAAACATCCAAAACCCTACTCAAAGCCGGTATGTCTGCTTGTGGTACAACCCAGCCAGCCCTATCCAAGCATTGGATTTCTGATAGGACCGTGTCCTTGCTGGAGACCCGTCGATAGATCCCACCTGGCCGCCACCGTGACTCCACCTGGCGCATCATCCGACGCCAGTTGAAAATGAGTGTCCGCGCAGACCGAGAAGCTCGTTTGATCCGAAAGGCCGAATAAATGAAAGGTGAAAAGAATGCTGGAAACGTGCGCAAGCTGTTCCACTTGATTCGTTCGACTGGTCCTCGGAAACCTCTTGTCAGCGAAATAATCAGGGACCAAAATAACTCCCTGATATGCAGCGAAGCAGAACGTTTAGACCGATGGGTGCAGTACTTCGAACAGCAATCCAGCTGGCCATCTCACCTCCAATCCAGAAACCTGGCCTTTAACAGAAAGGTGGACCGTAAATATAGAGCTATCTTATGTCTCAGAAGTGTCCAAATGTATTTCTCTACTCAAGCGTCATCGTGCTGCTAGTCCTGACGACCTTCCACATGCCCTTTTCAAGGATGGCGGTGGAT